GTATGTTCACTTTGAACTGGTACTTTTAATTAACAATATATCAGTTACTTTTCGTGGTGATATATTATTACTAGATAAAATGGTTTAAATTTTTGAGTATCTTTTTTTGAACATGGCTTGAATTTTCATTTTTATGATATGATTTTTTTCGGATATCACTTACTTTTCAGAGTACAAGTATATCACAAATATATATAAAAAAATAACGAAGGAGAGCGAAATACGACGAAAGAAAGGGGTGGTGGAGATGGATGGTGGGGAGAGGGGATGGAGGTCCGGTGGGCGAAGATGGTGGAGGTGTGAATAAAAGGTAAAAGAGGATGTTATAAAAATTTGTAATAACGAAATAGAGTGAAATATGGCGAAAGAGATGTATAACATATGTACGTTTGTACGTACGTACTTCGTACGTATGTACGTTAAACGTACGTATGTGTATACATACATGTATACGTTACAACGTATGTATAATCCAATAAAAAACCGTTTGGGCCAGTTTCACCAACGCCAATTACTTAATCGGCTGTAGAACCGACTAATTATATTTGCTGTTTAGTAGACCACGAGATGTAAACTAGATCATTTCTATAAAAGATGTGATATCAATAGTCGGCGCCAAGTTAAATTCTATTAAATTCTACTAAATTAAATAGTAAAACCCATATAGTTCTTATTGAAAGATCTTCCTATTTCAATCCAAATGGTTCTGATGACATGTATCATTTGTATAAAAGATCTGATATCAATAGTCGGCGCCAAGTTATTCTATGAAACCCATGTAGTACTATCTTTATCCTCATATAATGACATGTATCATTTGTATAAAAGATATGATATCAATAGTCGGCGCCAAGTTAAATTCTAATCTAATATTTTTAAAAACCCATGTAGTCACATCTTTATCTTCATATATAATAAAACCTACGTATATGTCTTCGTATTATTATTGAAAGTTCTTCCTATTTCAATCCAAATGGTTTCAATAAATAATAAAACCCATGTAGTACTATCTTTATCTTTATTCATATATACAATGAAACCTATGTATATGTCTTTGTATTCTTATTGAAAGATCTTCCTACTTCAACCCAAGTGGTTTAATTCTTCTTTAAAAAAATTATATCACAATTAATTCAAACACATTTATTCCTCTAATAATAAATTACCATGAAAAGTAACTGATATATTATTCAAGGTGCAAGTTCAAAATGAACATACATACATATATACATATATAAGTAAAACATTACAATTTTCTAAAAAATAACTGCGATATGTTATGCTTAGTGCACAAAATATAAAAGTCGTTTATTGAGATTTGATTTGAAATTTATTTAATTTATACTAGCCCGTGCAATGAAAAATAATTGCTTGTAATTCCAGAGTACCAATCTGTTAATGACTCGGAAAAAGAACATGGCGGCCTGCTCTCAAAAGACTTTCGATGGATGCAATAAATGATTGAAATGGAAGTTATGAAAATGAAACTGTTTTAGGTTAAAATACTTTAATCTTTCATTAGTAGAATTTCTAATTTTTGTTTGAACTTCCGGTTTTGAGTTAGTTGTATTATAGCATAGACCTTATTTTATTCTAATCTAATCTTATTATTCATTATTTATAAGTAATACTTTCGTACTTCAAGTGTTGAAAAAATTACTCCGTACAAGCTTCGACATTGCTTCTAAGTGAACAACGAGAAACTCATCAGTCTTTTGAGAGCAGGCCGCCATGTTCTTTTTACTGTTTGACAAAGGAAAAAATGTTTTAAAATCATCTCAGGAATACATCATTTTAAGGACAAACGTTTTTTCTGATTCATTCTGTATATGCAACAAAAGGATTTACATTTTATGAATGTTCACTTTGAACTGGCACCTTCAATAATATATCAGTTACTTTCTATGATAATATATTTCATTATAGATAATTATTTAAAGTTTTAAAGATTTCAATACTAAAACCAAGTAATTTTATATTTTGAGTAACTGTATCAAATAAGTTTTATCTTTATTATTATAAAAGAATTGATTCTTTGTGCTGTATTTTATTTTCAGTTTTATTGAAGGAAAAGTCCTGAAAAGAAACGGCAAAGATATTTTAAATCCATACCTTTCTTCTTTTCAGACTTTTCCTATCAACAAGCACAAAGAATCAAATCTTATAATTATATAAGGAATAGAGAATACAAATTAAGTATCTACCAAACAAATAAATAACAGATCTGGAGACGCGGTAGTGTCTCGGTAAGCAAGTAACCTAACCAAATGCTGTAAAAAGAAAATAATTATATAGAAAATAATTTGTATTCTTACAGCGGAATTACAGCAGAGAATTTGTGTAATAAAGCAGAAAATATCTAACCTCACTTACGTGTTCGTCTATTCTATGCCATCGATGTAACAAATTTCCTAACTTTAATCCTTTGTTATTGCTGAAACTCTTTATCCGACTTAACGATCGTACAGATCGCAGAGATCGATATTTATTCTAACCTTACTTACGTGTTCGTCTATACCATCGATGTGACTGATTTTCTAACCTCATTTGTTATTGCCGAGACTCTTAATAATTCGATTTTAACGATCGTACAGGTCGCAGCGATCGATATTATAGATTTATAGATACCCGTCGCAAACACATTTATCTCTTGCGCCAAAAATTCCAGAATGCATTTCCTCACTCCGTAGCTGACAACTATGACGACGACGATGTTTCTTACAAACACATTTCCTCGACGGTGAACACCTAGACAATTACTTCTTCGAAGGCAAACACCTAGACACTCACTTCATCGAAATCAAACTCGTAGACACCCACTTCCTCGACGGCGAACACCTAGACACCCATTTCCTCGACGGCGAACACCTAGACCCTCACTTCCTCGAAGACGAACACGTAGACATCCACTTCCTCGAAGACGAACACCTAGACACTTACTTCATCGAAATCAAACACGTAGATACTTATACTTCCTCGACGACGAACATAATACTCATCTTTTGTGATTTATTTTTAAAATATAAAAAACTGTTATTTGATCTCTCACCTAGGACACTATGTTTGATTCAAGATTTTGGAGTGTAAGGTAACTAGTTTTCATGTATATCTTCATAATTATACGTTTAAAAATTATTATTCTAATTAATAATTAATATCGTGAAGAAGGATTGTTCTGATAATCAATTTCGTAATAACATTATACCAAAAAAATTTATTACATTTATTAGCATATTTGATTACATGTGTGTAATATTTTGATTTTGGAATAGTACATATTCACTTTCATTGCATTTTCTTTCAATAATAAAATGTATTATGTTAAAATATTTTAGAGAACATCAATGTAAAACATATGGAAAAATACCGTTCGGATACCATTACCAAGAAAGAAAAATCAATAAATTTCTGAATACTAAATATTAGAAAGAAGCATAAATGATGTAAATGAAGAATATTTATCCATTTTTATGTACGTTTATTATAAAGTTAATTATACAAAGTGTGTTCTATCTGTGATATGACTTCAGGTTCGTTATTGTATGTTTCTTTCTAATGTTCAGTATTTACAACTTTATTATGATTTCTCTTTCTTGGTGATGGTATCCGAATGGTGCTTTTCTAGTATGTTTACGTTGATGTTCTCAAAAATATTTTAACATAATACATTTTATTATTGAAAGATAATATATGCAATGGAAGTTAATATGTATTAATTCCAAAGTCAAAATCTATTACATATATATAATCAAATACGCTACTAAACGTAATAAGTGATATTCTTCACAATCTTATTTTTCACAGATTTTAATTTATCATTACTTTAACATCACATCGTTGTAACGATGCACCCCTCTCATGCATCGTTCCCGGTAAACGACAGCCAGCCGGACACCGTTGCACCGCTAGGCGATACAGCGATGAGGGCGCATAGCGCCCGATAATATAGCGAAGCATAATCCGCAGGTACCGGCAGCAGCAACCGTCGCGAGATACCGAAGCGCACCGAACGCCTCCGAACGCGTTCGGCCGGCAATGTCTCCCACCGATCGACGTCTCGCAGACACGATCGGCGAGAGACTACGAGACGCGCCGAGGAAATACGAGCGCGACATTTCTCGAGATATAAAATGTCGCGCTTGCGAAAAATCGCTTTCATTACTTTCCGACTCCTGTTCCGATCACCAGCTCCGAAAATCGTACAGTCCGACGAACGAGGAAACCGGGTCTGAGAGTACTCAGACTCTACCGAGAGTTCTCGGTAGTTCCGAAGACTTCCTATCTCACTGAGCAACAAGAAAACCGGGGTGAAGAGTACTCCACCTCCGTCGAGCGTTCTCGACAGGTGCTCAATGCACTAGCGGTCACACCGACGCCCGAGGTGGAGTGTGCTCCACCTCTGTCGAGAGTTCTCGACCGTCGTCCGAAGCCGCCGCTCTCCACGACGTATTCTTGCGACCGGCCGACATCCAGGAAAGGGGTGGAGAGTTTTCCGCCTCCACCGAGAGTTCTCGGTCGTCGGCCGCCGCCTCTTAAATACCGCGTACTCGAAAAACATCCGCGAGAAAGAAACCCGCGATACGCGTATCCGCAACTAAAAACAGGGCGTGTGCTAAAAGTACCGTCGCGTGCGCCGTGCAGCAGACGTCGGGAAAAAAAACCGTAAATACGTGGGCATTTAAACGGCCCGACACAATCGAGAATCGTGCCCGTGCGTACCGCCTAGGGTCTACCTGCGCCGACATACACACATGTGATGTATTTTGCTAGGTCACTTGATGCGAGTAAAGACGCCTCAGTTGGAAACTATGCGAAGTTTATTTACAACAGAATGCAAAAAGGAGTACATATGAAAAGGTGGTTTAGGACGATTGCCTCAAACGTGGCTTCCGCTAGCGCAACAGAATCCCGAGTGCCTGCGCGCTCATCGCTACATATTCGCTCACGCTCCGAGGCGTCAGTCATGCCCGTTGTACACATTCACAGCTGACTCTTATACACTACAATCTTCCGCTTTTTTTTTTATCTTTGTTTATACGCGGCGAGCGACGAACAGGCGGTCGCTTTACAATCTGGTCGATGTGGCGCTTTTGAAAACTACCATTACAATCCCTTACAACATAGGTTGATGGAGATACCTTTTTTACAACTTCTCCTAACTTTCTCTTCTCACCTCCAACGGCATGGTTATCGTACAAAATAACGTCACCGACTTCTACATCATTCTTTCGCTTACCTGCTCGTGCTACAATTTGTGCTCGTTGCTTTCGTTCTATTCTAGCTGTTACGCTAGTTCTTAACAGATCAAACCGCGTACGCACGTCTCGCTTATACATTAATTGTGATGGACTTTTGCCAGTGGTACAATGTTCCATATTGCGGTAATCAAATAAGAACAAATTTATAGCGTTTTCGGGCGTCTTTCCCCCCTTTACAATTTTTGAAACTTTATTTTTAAATGTACCGACAACGTTTTCGGCTGCGCCGTTTGTCGCTGGGTGGTAAGGCGGAGAAAAACTGTGCGCAACTCCATTTTGCTTTAAAAAATCTGTAAATTCATCAGATCTAAACTGTGATCCTCCATCAGTTACTACGTGCACAGGTAAGCCATAACGTGCAAATAAACATTTAAATTCCTGAACTAACCTATACGCTTTTGTGTTCTTTTTAAAATTGATAACTTCGGGCCATTTCGTATGCGCATGAATTATTACTAGATACATGTCACCCCAGAATGGGCCCATGAAGTCACAATGGATGCGATGCCATGCACGGTCAGGCCAAGGCCACGTAGTCAAAGGCGTTTGCGGTGGTTTCTTTTGCTCGACTAAACATGCTTCGCATGCCTTTGTATACTCTTCTATATCTTTATCGATACCCGGCCACCACACGTACGACCTCGCCAGCATCTTGATTTTTACAATTCCCATATGCGACGCGTGCAACTCCTTTAACATTAGCGGTCGCATACTTCCGGAATGACTGCTCTTAATCCCCAAAATAAACAATTATTATCAACGGTTAGTTCTAATCTACGCGAATGATACATTTTCTCGCTTTCCGTGATTTCTTTTAAATCTGGCCAACCATTTACAGTATATTTCATGACGTTAATTATTGTTTCATCCGTTGTGCTAGCTTTTGCTAACATTTTACTGTCAAAAGTATCAAAGCCTTTTCTAAAAAAATTTATAGGTGAAAAATCATTTTCGATTAAGTCAGTATCATCTTCGATCGGTAAACGAGACAATGCATCACAGTTTGCATTTTCTTTAGATTTGATATATTCAACTTCGTATCTAAACCCAGATAAATAATAAGCCCAGTGCTGTAATCGATTATCAGCGGTCGCTGGAATGCCTTTTCTTGGACCTAAAATCAATTGCAAAGGCTTATTATCTGTACGTAAAATTATTTTCGTACCATAAACAAATTGATAAAAACGTTTAAATCCAAAAATAATTGCCATCGCCTCTTTATCTAAAATTGTTCGACTTAGTTCTTTCTTAGCTATTTTCTTTGAAGCATACGCAATGGGTTTCTCCGTACCATCTTTATATTTATGTGATAGAATTGCAGACAAGCCATATGATGACGCGTCGCAAGCTAATACAAGTTTTTCTTTCGGATCAAAATTTGCTAATACGCGTGGAGAAATTAATTCATTCTTAATCCATGCGAAAGCTTTATCGCATCTTTCATCCCATTTAAATTCCTTAGCGCTCGCACATTCATATAATGGTTTTAAATTATCAGATCTGTTTTTCAAGAATCGAGCATAAAAATTAATCAAACCTAAAAACGAATTCACTTCTTTAAGATTTTGCGGTTGCGGCGCATTAGCCATTGCGTTGACCTTTGATTTCGCTTTATGTAAACCATCCTTATCAATCACGAATCCTAACAAAAAATTACATTTTTTATTCAATTTTAACCCACATTCTCTTAAACGTTCTAACACTTTTTCGGTTCTTTCAATACATTCTTTTGGTGTGCGCCCTGTTATATAAATATTATCAATGTAAGAGATTGCACCAACGATCCCTCTCAAACATTCATCCATTTTCTTTTGCACGTCCGCAGGTGCCGTTGATACCCCTTCCGGCAACTTTGTATACCGGTATAAACCTCTCTGCGTTACAATGGTTAACAACTTGGAGCTTTCATCGTCGACTCCAAATTGCATATAACAATGAAATAAATCTAACTCTGTGTAGCAAACTCCACCTTGTAGGACTGTAAAAATATCATTTATTGTATGAAATGGATACTTATCAATAATTACAAACGGATTTATGGTCATTTTAAAGTCACCACAAATGCGTAGTTTGCCATTGCTTTTATACACGGGTACGATGGGTGTTGCCCATTCGCTAGTCTCCACTTCTTTTAAGTGTCCTAATCCTACTAACCTATCTATTTCATTTTCAATATCAGGCCGCACTGCGTGTGCTACTGGTCTGCATTTCATTGCAATCGGACGAGCATTCTCTTTTAAGTGAATTTTAATCTTACTCTTATTATACAATCCCGGTTCATCACTAAATAGATCTTTGAATTTATTTAAAAAATAATCCTCAATTTTATTATATCTACATCGATTTTGTTAACACTACTATTATTATCTTTTCTAAGCATCAGTGGCCAACATCCAAATGCTGCAAGCCACTGCCTACCTATAAGCATTGGACCGTCGCCGGGTAAAACAAAACAACACAATGTGCGCGTTTTGCTATTATATTTTACTTTTAAGTCCGTTAACTTTCCAAGCGGACACAATGTTTTATTATCGTACGTTCGCAATTTATCATCAGTTTTAATAATTTTCTCATTTTTAAAATACATATTCTTTTCTGTCTCCGAAATAACCGTCGCGAACGTGCCCGAATCTATCTCCATGCTTACACTGCTCTCGTTTACTAACATATCGATATACATTGGCTCGGCGCGCGCGCGATTCTCACACACACTCTTATGCTCATACTCATCTCTACGCTCGCTGTCCGAACTGATGGTAAAGAAATCTTCCTCGTGTGGTATGCTCTGTGTCGGCTCTCCGTCCCCGCTGCTATCCTCCAACTTGAGAACATTGCTCTTCTTTGACTGCTGGTTCCTTTTCTTTAAGCAGGCGACCTCCAGATGACCCTTTCCCTTGCAGAAGTTACAAATTTTCTCCTTGTAATGGCACTCAGCGCGTACGTGATTGCGCTTACCACAGCAGAAGCACACTATGTCGCCTTTGTTATGATTTTGCATTTGCCTTTCGGTGTTGGGCTTGTCCCCTTCGTTCCGCGGCTTATTGTTCAATCTGCTGTTATTTGCTTTTACCTTTATTCTGTTGGCGAAACGAAAACACCTCTTTCTGCGCGTTTCTTTTTTCAAGCGTATACGTGGCACTTGACGCGCTTTTCACTGCTGATTCCCTCGCGACTGCTTCTTTTAATGCTATGTCAAATGTTAAATTTTCGCTTTTGAATAATGAGACCTATGTATATGTCTTTGTATTCTTATTGAAAGATCTTCCTACTTCAACCCAAGTGGTTTAATTCTTCTTTAAAAAAATTATATCACAATTAATTCAAACACATTTATTCCTCTAATAATAAATTACCATGAAAAGTAACTGATATATTATTCAAGGTGCAAGTTCAAAATGAACATACATACATATATACATATATAAGTAAAACATTACAATTTTCTA